CAAAAAAATATCAATTAAATTATGTAGTGTTACAAATGAAAAAAGAATTCGGTATTTTCCGCGAATAAAAATCTTAATAGAATAACAACACTTGTTAATTATGATCTGATCGAAGTCGCCGATGAATTCATCTTAATGTTTTCGCCATGAGATGTTTTTTTTCCTACCTATGCTGATAGCCTTGAGAGACTATTTCAGCTTCTCCTTAACGTGTAGGTGAGCTCACGGTGTTTTTTTTATTTTTTTTTATTATGAAATTAACCGGATACAAGTCCATTGGCCGATACGGGGTTCAAACCGGGTGTGTTGCTAACACTGGCCCTAGCAAGAGCAGTGCTTCGCAGAATCTATCACCGGATCGGAAACGCGACCCGCTGAGAAGATCCTTCGAGAAACTCAGTGGGCTGTGTCTATGGGTTAGTTTACTCGTCGTTCCCTTCGTCGCAAGCGACGGCTTCGGCGAGGACGGTGACCGGTGCTTATGGTACCTAAAGGCACCGTTAATAGATCAGGAGGATCCGTAATGACGTGTTAGGTATTTTTATTCGTTAAGATTTATGTATCCGTACCATTTATTATTAATTTAAATAAGATCGCGTGTGTGATTTCACAATAATAAATGGCAGTCCAAACTTGGATCAATATCCCTTAAAATCTCTTTCAAATTAATTCAGTTATTGCGGAGAAATTAGAGATACACTAAGCAATTTTAAGTGAATCGTAAAAACACAATTACGCAGTAACAATAACAAAAAATAATTTGCGGGTACGAATGTTTGTTTGTTTCTTAGTGTTTTTTATTAGATCCTGGATCCAGAAATATAAACACCGGCTAACCATACTGAATGAAACAAAAATTTTACAACAAAAAAAAAAACGCGTCTTCAATAGAATATAATGGGAACATTGTCAATGTAGTCGAAATAATAACTACTTATATAATAAACTAGCAGACCGGTCCGGCTTCGCACGGGTCTTTAGAAAAATTTCAAATTTAAAAATTATAATACACACACATTAACCCTTCGATTTGCGTCAGATTACTAAAAAAAGAATATTATAAAGATAGTTTCAATATTATTATTTTAATGAACTTTTATTTTTATTTAAATGTTTTTTTTTTTTTATTATTTATCTATTTTTTATTTATCGATTTATTTTTTATTCTTTTATAATAATAAATAGTTTTCGCAGCGCACGCGATGTAAAGAATATTTTAGGTCTTTTTCTTTTTTTACACCTTGAGTTACTTTATTGGAGTATTAGTAAGGATCCCTAATTTTTGTTCAAAAAGAATATAGTCTATGTAAGTGAGCCTATGTCATTCGGGGATAGTGTAGCTTCCAAACAGTGAAAGAATTTTTCAAATCGGTTCAGTAGTTTCGGAGCCTATTCAATACAAACAAACAAACAAATCTTTCCTCTTTATAATATTAGTATAGATTTATAATATTAGTATAGATATATACTACTATACTAATAAACATTGATTATTACGGATAACACAATACCTACTCGTGACTTCTTGTTAAAATTTAAATGGGATCACACGAGAAGCGCCGGCTTTCAATTAAATAAAATAAACATTAGTTAAAAAAACAAACACAAAATAACACGCTTTTACTGCGAACTAAACTAAATAGTATTTTTTTGGTTTATTTTTTTATTGCTAAGATGGGTGGATGCGCTCAAAGTCCAAATCAAATCAAATCAAATCAAATAAAAAAAAAATTATTCAACATAAATGAAAGTACACACTTGTTGAACGTAAAAAGAACTACCGCCAATTCACAAGAACTAGCCTCCGTCCTGAGAATAATTGGCAAGAAACTCAGCGGGCATGTTTTTTTTTTTAATATTACATTATTTTTTTAATATTAGATTTTTTTAAATATTCATCCACCTGTCCACCTGGGATTAGGTGGTTGCTGGAGCTCATAGACGTCTACAACGTAAATGCGCCACCCACCTTGAGCCACCCACTTTCACTTCACCCACCTTCAAACCGAAACGCATTACTGCTTCACGACAGAAATAGGCAGGGTGGTGGTACCCACCCGCGCGGACTCACAAGAGGTCCTACCACCAGTAATTACGCAAATTATAATTTTGCGGGTTTCGTTTTTATTACACGATGTTATTCCTTCACCGTGGAAGTCAATCGTGAACATTTGTTGAGTACGTATTTCATTAGAAAAATTGGTACCCGCCTGCGGGATTCGAACACCGGTGCATCGCTTCAACACGAATGCACCGGACGTCTTATCCGTTAGGCCACGACGACTACAAGTTAACTTTTACGCTATCGAGAACGTTAAATAACTCGCACTAAGCATACTGAATATACGCCCAAACACACAACGCTCTCAGTCGTCGTTGAAATCTGCTGACGTGGACTACTTCTTGATAGCTCCACACAGCAACGTAATCTCCCAGAAGACTTCTTACGGAGTCACTATCACTACATAGTATAAAACAAAGTCGCTTTCTCTGTCCCTATATCCCTATGTATGCTTAAATCTTTAAAACTACGCAACGGATTTTGAAGCGGTTTTTTTAATAGATAGAGTGATTGAATAGGAAGGTTTATATCTATAATAACATCCATTAAATAGTGGAGAAATCAATAATAAATTACAGTTTCCAAAGCGAAGCGAGGGCGGGTCGCTGGTTGGCTATAAAGTAAAAACGCTGAGGTAGTTTTGGGTCGTGCAAAACGAATCTACCCGATAACCATACTGTCGAACTCGGCAAGGGGTTCGTCAAGCAACCTAATCCATGCTTCAGCCCGTTGAGTTTCTCGCCGGATCCTCTCAGCGGGTCGCGATTTCGATCCGGTAGTAGATTCATTCGCGAAGCAGCTCTCAAGCAAGCTCTCAAGTTTTTATGTCTCCTTCGGAGGCGCTCGGGCAGCTGTTAGCAAATCCTACCCCTCCTGGCTGAGCCTTTGCTCGCCCACCTGTCCTGGTGAAACTGGAAAGGGTTCGAGGCAGCCAGTAATCCTTCATTTATTTATTTATTTAAAAAAAGTACTGCCACATCACAAACATTTAACATTGAAAATAACTTAAACTATTTTATGTATGGCCTGATGCCTGAGAGAATAATTGCGTAGGTACATAACACTGGCAATTCATCGGCTCGAAGTTGGAATACAATAATAATAAAAAAAAGATAATACACGACAAATGAATCAGCAATCCATGCATTTGATTGTCAATATCACCAAATGTCTGATAACAATTACTTTGTTCTCCCTTCCAGTGTGCTTAGTGCGAGTTTTTTAACGTTCTCGATAGCGTAAAAGTTAACTCATATTTGTATGGAATGGGTTCAGTTTGCCTACGTTTGCCGCTAGGGGCGCTGTTCCAACTGCATACAAAATGGGGCTTAACTTTTACGCAATCGAAAAAGACAAGAAACTCTTACTAAGCACACTGTAGGCGCTAGGCCTTCTTAGTAGTTTTTTCTTATGTGTATATGGACTTGCACGAAATGTTTTTTTTTGTAATCAACGTTACTAAATCCCATAGACAGAACCTGCGGAGTTTCTCACCGTATCTTCTCAGTGGGTCGCGATTGCGATTCGGTGGTAGATTCTGCGAAGCAATGCTCTTGCTAGGGCTAATTCTGTATAGCATTCTCAATTATCAATAATCTAATAGCAAATTTTCTCAGGTTGAGCCCTAGAGTTCATTTACCCGTCCGGACGTAGCTGGAATAGACTCTTAGACTACCAGCAATATCATAGGAAAAAAATAATTACTATATAAATAGACTAGCGACCCGGCCTCGATTCGCTTTGGAAACATGAAATTTTATTATTGATTAATTACGATATCACATTAGAAACCTCAAAAATAACAGTATTTCTCCACTATTTAATGGATGTTATTATACATATAAACCTTCCTCTTCAATCACTCTATCTATTAAAAAAAACCGCATCAAAATCCGTTGCGTAGTTTTAAATATTTAACAATACATAGGGATATAGGAAAAAAAAAAATTATTTTTTTATTCCTACCTAAGCTGGTAGCCTAGAGCGGCTATTCCAGCGTAACCGTGGCTAGTAGGTGAGCTCACGGGGCTCAAACCTGCCGACGATGCTAACACGAACCCTAGCAAGAGCCGTGCTTCGCAGAATCTACCACCGGATCGGAAACGCGACCCACTGAGAAGATCCGGCGAGAAACTCAGTGGGCTGTGTCTGAGAGTTAGTTGACTCGTCGAGCCCTTCGTCGCAAGCGACGGGTTCGAGTAGAACGGTGACCGGTGCTTGAAGTACCTAAAAGCACCGTTAGTGGATCGGGAGGATCCGAGATGACGTGTTTTGGGCGACGTCGACTGCTTTCCATTCTGTCCGCAGGATCGGTATAGGAACAGAGAAAGCGACTTTGTTTTATACTATGTAGTGATGCACTATGATACAATATATCACTCGACTAGATTCCATTGCCTTTAGTTTTCGTTCAATCAAAAGAAATATTGTTTTAAGAAAGAAAAAAAGTTTAGTGGGTAAATTTTAGAGGAGCCCATAGTAGTTAGTACCGAGGATTGAAGTTTGAAGAATTAATTATATTGGAATTAATATTCCTCGCCGAAATCACATTTATCTCTATATCTATATTATCTATTATAAGTGTGAAGCTATAATGCGTTTCGGTTTGAAGGGTGGGGCAGCCGTTGTACTGCAAAAACCGCGAGACCTTAGAATTCAAATATCAAGCTAGTTGGCGGCATTTGCGTTGTAGATGTCCATGGGCTCTGGTAAGCACATAACAGGTGGCCCGTAAGCTTGTCCACACATCTAAGAACAAAAAAAAAAGTGGACATAATGATATAACGTATAGGAGGTTCGTAATTTGTTATTTAAAAAAATCAATGACTAGGAATTATAATAATAATCTTGAACTTCTAATCTCTAGTTTAAGGGATGATGTTTTGGAATTTTACTTTAGGTTTTCTTCGGAATCATTCAAAATTAAACAATTTCAACATAATATATTTTTGTCATAATTTATTTAATATCATCTAACAATTTTTACATCTATACAATCACCATCTTCTAGTTCTAAGTCGTTTGGTGTATTTTTACCTAAAACAAAAACAAAAAAAGTTATTTTTAATACAAATATTAATATAATACAAGATGAAACATGTCCACTAATACAAGAAATGTAAACAAAAAATATTGTCTTTTTTAACTGTTATTGTAACAATTATTAATAAAATGTTTAAGAAGCCATATTTCATTATAACTTGGTTATGGAATATTCTCAATACAAATTTCAAATCAATTATTGTTAAGTGAAGATTTTTGTTATCGGACCTATACCTGGCCACTTCTCATGTTCCTGAGCCCCAGTAAACACTTACCATAAGATGAGCTGTGAGCTCATCCACCCATCTGACCATTTTAATTGCAAAAGATGAGCTCTCAAATATCTAAGCTCAAATATCTCAAATATATGCATAATATTGAGATACAATACAAACTTAGGTTACAAATAATTATTGTATTACTATTATTTTATATATGGATGGATGAGCTCACTGCCCACCTGGTGATAAGTGGTTACCGGAGCCCATAAACATCTAAAATGTAAATGCCGCCACCCACCTCGAGATATAAGTTCTAAGGTCTAAGTATAGTTACAACGGCTGCCTCACTCTTCAAACCGAAACGCATTATTAGAGAAATGCATGTATTTTGAGGATTTAAGACACAATTCATTATCTTTAAAACGTAACTAACAAATTACCTGATATTAAATCGCCATCAAAATAAAACAGCAACTTTTCCAAAGCCCTCTCGAAGTGCTCTGCACATTTTAACATAGCCAATGACATTGTGTCATCTTTACTGATTGTAATCTGAAATGGTTTTTTCTCATTCTGACACTGAAACTTGACATTAATGCCGTTTACAATATCATTGTCCAGTTTCGGAGTCAAAGTATCGACACACTCATTAACGATACCTCCTTCAATGAACCTACTGATGTTGTAACCTATGCTGTCCGGAGAATCATCTATTTTGATTACAACATCGTTATATGTAAAATAAAGTTTTTCATTTCTTATGTTTTCTTTGTTACCGAAGTGATCGAATATCGGTTTCAACTTCTGGTATTTTCTTATTTGAAATTTAAATATTTCCGAGCTTTTCCAGTACACTTTGACGGAGAGCTCTTCATTGTCCAAGTCCTCTGTGTCCAGGACTACTACGTCTTTGGGTTTGGTAACGAATAATGTTTGCGAGTGAGATGTGTCTGGGTAGTAATCTGTGTTGCCTATACTGAAAGTCGGTATATCTTCAGTTTCTCGATGAAAGTTGCCCCGACCTCTACCAGTACTCCGGCTTCTATTGGCACGACCTCTGCTAGTATTCCGACCCCTAATATTCCTAGCTCTTTTTGAGCGACCTCCTCTCCCGGCCTCGGGCGTCGGTGAGATCTGCTGCGTACTTTCGGAGTTCTTTTTGGTCTTCGCACGAGTTCTTTTTGATGGCGGCTCTACTGGATCCACTATTACTGCTTCAACATTCCCTTTAGATCGTGTAACACGTTTGTTACTCTTTGGCACAGTTTCTTTGACGACATGGACATAATCGTGGTCTTTTATTAACCCATCCGTGTTCGTAACGTGGCTTCCGCCGATTGATAATGGGTTCTCTAAATTATAACGATCGAAACTATCATTGAACGTGTCTGTTATTAAATGCTCCTTTTTCTTATTTAATAATATTTGTTGTAACTTTTGTGCTGCATTCCCGTAGCAGTCGTCTTCTGAATCCGATGNTTTGACGACATGGACATAATCGTGGTCTTTTATTAACCCATCCGTGTTCGTAACGTGGCTTCCGCCGATTGATAATGGGTTCTCTAAATTATAACGATCGAAACTATCATTGAACGTGTCTGTTATTAAATGCTCCTTTTTCTTATTTAATAATATTTGTTGTAACTTTTGTGCTGCATTCCCGTAGCAGTCGTCTTCTGAATCCGATGAACTCATCTTTAGTCACACAATTTTTAATAGAAAATTATTTACATTTGTACATACTCGATCGACAGTCACAGTTTTGTTGTTAAATTCGAAATACAAATTGCTTTGATTTTATTTACTTTCGAGCCATAGATAATAGAGGTAAGTACACAAAACATAGAGGTGCTACGTTGTCAGTGTCATTTTTGTTTGTTTGAAACGTCCATGAAACGTCTAGTGGATAGGCAAAGATAATTTAGTATATACAACCAGATGCTTTGAAACAAAGACTGAATGAAGTTGACTGAAATTAATAAAGATGAAAATGGTATAAAATAAACGTATAGCCAGGTCTGAAAATCGAGGTCTAAAAATCGACCCTTATTAATTAACACACGTTCTTATTTAAAGCTTTCAAGACACTGTAATTTGTAATAAGATTAAGATTCTAGTAGGAAGTATCATTGTTGTACTTTTAATTTTATTAACTGAATTTTATGTTCATTTACTTTTTTTAAATGACATGAGAAAATAGCATAAAGCTTACTCACAATTGTAACGTTTTTAAATTGGTAAGTGTTAATATGAAAAAAAATTGAGATAGGATTTTTAAAGTAATTTGCCTATGTGGATCTGACGTATCTGTTCATTTTGGATAAAGTTGTCTCATGCCCAAAGCGGTTTGGAATCCCTGATCTATATATGATGTTGATGACATGACATGAAATAACTTCTCACTGAAACGGTAAGGGTTGCTTACCTTTAGGCTTTGCTTCATTTTTTCACACACGTCCATTTCCACAGATGCTATACTTAAAAAAACACTGCATTAACAAAAGATTTTTTTTACATAATCCGATACATTCCCTCCAAAAGGTCTGTCGCGGTAACAGCGTGACAAACGCCAAGCGAGACCAAAAAGTTTGCGTGTAGTACAAATTTTATCTGTTAAACCCATGGAGTTAATAAGTACCTATTAGAATAGTAACTCTATGGTTAAACCGAAATACACAAACGCAATTTACTAGCCCATAGACACAGCCCACTGAGTTTCTAGTTCGATATTTTTAGTGGGTCGCGATTCTGATCCGGTAGGTAGTAGATTCAGTGAAGCACTGCTCTTGCTAGGGCTAGTGTTAGCAATTCGCTCAGGTTGAGCCCGTGAGCTCACCTGCCAGTCCCCGCGATTTTTTTTATTGCTTAGATGGGTGGACGAGCTCACAGCCCACCTGATTAAGTTAAGTGTTTACAGGAGCCCATAGACATCTACAACGTAAATGCGCCACCCACCTTGAGATATAAGTTCTAAGGTCTCAAATATAGTTACAACGGCTGCCCCACCCTTCAAACCGAAACGCATTACTGTTTCAAGGCAGAAATAGGCAGGGTGGTGATACCTACCCGTGTGGACTCACAAGAGGTCCTACCACCAGCAATTACGCAAATTATAATTTTGCGGATTTGATTTTTATTACACGATGTTATTCCTTCACCGTGGAAGTCAATCGTGAACATTTGTTGAGTACGTATTTCATTAGAAAAATTGGTACCCGCCTGCGGGATTCGAACACCGGTGCATCGCTCAACACGAATGTACCGTACCTCTTATCCTTTAGGCCACGACGACTTCAGAACGACAACTTTTATAACTTATTTACTTGTTTAAATAAAATACATTGTGCAAAATAGTTTATGATAATAATTTGCGAATTGGGTTTGTCGCCACCCAGAAGTGGCACGGTACAAAACCATTGCATTATTAAATGTTGTCAGCATGTATTTAAAAGAAAATGACATTTAAGCTCTGTGTCAAAATTTGTATTTTCCCCCCATTTTCCAAGTACAGCAATTGATTTATTACTTATGCCATTACACATAAGGACTGATTTCAAAATATATGTTATGAACAGGAACTAGATTTGACGAAAAAAAAAAGATAATGGCGTCGAAACATTTATGAATAATCATTTTCATAATTTGTATTGTATGTACGTCAGGTATAAGAGATCTTTTTTCAGATTACATGTTGGGTTTTATCTAAATTCACAATAAAATTACCACGAATGTTATCTGTAGGCCATCTTGCGTTAATACAAGATCAATAATTAAGATTGTGTGTTTTGACTACTGGATTTAGACGAATTAGAATACAAAAGCTCGTTTTATTTATCAATTAGGTTGTGAATACAATATTTTTAGTTATTTTAATTTTCATTCAACATATAGTAAATCAGTTGTAGGTATCTCAGGAGTTCATGTTTGTATTCATTAAAAATTTATTTAAAGGATTTTGTGACCTGATAACTAAGACCTTTAGGTCATGTTTAATTTATATTCTTATTTTTATGAAAAATGATAATATGGAGTGAAATGAAATGAAATGAAGACGATTAATTTGAGACATTAATCGACTGGGATGAAATTAAAAGAAATGAGATGATATGGGATGAAATATAATCTCAGTAAAAAGTGGTCATTTACTGAGATTTTTTTATTGGACTTTTTGGAGGATTCCGAGAAGTTACGTCCAGCAGTTTTGTTTCATTTTCCCACATTTGGGCACTTTCACAGATATTAATTTCAAAGTTAATAAACCACCGTTATTACACATTTAAACCTGAAGAAACGTTAAATAGACAAAATAAAACAAATCACACAACTTCACTCCTCGTGTTCCCGCCAAAAAGTCTCATTAAACAAAGAGGCCCACAAAGGCATAAATAATAGATAATAAAGACATTGGGCAATGTGAGTCAGCACGAGGATGCACGGCCATTCTGCCTATTTCTATCGCAATGCTGCCAGGAAAATATCTATCAATGGCCTAATCAAAGACCGTACCGGGAGCCTTATACCAGAAGTATTTCTTATAACAGATCAACTTTGATAGGAGGTTTTTTTTTTTTTTTTTTTTATTGCTTAGATGAGTGGACGGTCTCACAGCCCACCTGATGTTAAGTGGTTACTGGAGCCCATAGACATCTACAACGTAAATGCGCCACCCACCTTGAGATATAAGTTCTAAAGTCTCAATTATAGTTACAACGGCTGCCCCACCCTTCAAACCGAAACGCATTACTGCTTCACGGCAGAAATAGGCGGGGTGGTGGTACCTACCCGTGCGGACTCACAATAGGTCCTACCACCAGTAAAAATTTGAATTTGACCTGTCCTGCTATTTCGTACCATGAACGCGGTAAAAAACCAGCCAGCGGGCGACCACGTGACCCGAGTCGGTTACAGGTCACGTGATTACATTACAGGTAGGACGTCTTGCGAGTCCGCACGAATAGGTACCACCACCCTGCCTATCTATTTGCCGTGAAGAAGTAATGCGTTTCGGCTTGAAGGGTGGGGCAGCCGTTGTAACTATACTGAGACCTTACAACTCATGTCTCAAGATAGGTGGCGGCATTTACTTTGTAGATGTCTATGGGCTCCGGTAACCACTTCACACCAGGTGGGCCGTTAGCTCGTCCACCCATCTACCACCACCACCCTACCTATCTCTGCCGTGAAGCAGCAATGCGTTTCGGTTTGAAGAGTGGGGCAGCCGTTGCAACTATACTTGGGACCTTAGAACTTATATCTCAAGGTGTCTATGGGCTCCAGTAACCACTTAACACCAGGTGGGCTGTGAGCTCGTCCGCCCGTCTAAGCTAAAAAAAAGCGCGGTGACAGGTCCATGAACCGTACCCCTTACGGCACGTTACCGATATATACAACCGGCAAAACGCGTGAGTGTGATGACAAATCGAAACAAGTAATTGACCGAAAAAGTCATCGAACTAAAGTTCCTTCGACTTTATTAATACGTTGCGCCATCAGTCTACAATCATTTCTAGTAATCAAAACGATAAATTAGTTTTGTTGAAGCTAAAAATATTTTTTTTCCAACAAAACAAGTTTGTAACATAATCTATACTGATAATCTTTTGTGCGAGTTTTTTAACGTTCTCGATAGCGTGAAAGTTAACTCAAATTTGTATGGAGTTCGAACGTTTGCCTACGTTTGGCGCTAGGGGCGCTCTTCCAGCTCTATTCTTAAGTTAACTTAACCACACTTATATTTCGTTGCACTCATAAAACGTCACTTTTAAACTGAGGCACTGTATCACATACCATACAGCCTCATCAGGGCAGGTGGGCGAGCAAAGGCTCAGCCAGAAGAGGTGGATTTGGTAACGTCTACCCGAACGCCTCCAAAGGAGACCTAACAACTCAAGAGTAGCTGCTTCGCGAATGACGCGTGATTTTCATCTTTGTATTATGCCTTAAAAAGAAAGCGAGTGGAGTTATAGATATAAAATTTTAATGTAAAATATTGTTCTATGTGTCTGATTCATACCCGATTCTGTGGACCGAATGGTAAGCAGTCGACGTCGCCCAAAGCACGTCATTACGGATCCTTCCGATCCATTAACGCTGCTTTTAGGTACCACAAACACCGGTCACCGTCCTCGTCGAACCCGTCGCTTGCGACGAAGGGCTCGACGAGTGAATTAACCTATAGACACAGCCCATTGAGTTTCTTGCCGGATCTTCTCAGTGGGTCGCGCTTACGATCCGGTGGTAGATTCTGCGAAGCACTGCTCTTGCTAGGGCTAGTGTTAGCAACGTCCTCAGGTTAGAGCCCCGTGAGCTCACCTTATCGCCCGGTTACGCTGACATAGCCCCCTAAGCTACCAGCTTAGGTAGGAAAAAAGCGTCTGATGTATGCATAGATAATTATGCGTAAGAGTACAGCTTCTTCATCCATCGAAATATTGGTAAGGTTAATATTTTAGAAGTGTGCCTTTTATTCTTTTAAATAATGAATAAGCAATTTCATAACTAGAATTGAATTTATAAAGATAAACATAGCAACACCGACATAGAAATCACGCGAAAGTTCCAACAAAAAAAATATAATTTCGATTTTCACATCCACACAATTGGATATCGTAATTAATCTATGTGAAGATTGCAAAAATACATTTTTCTTTTTGAAAGTACGAAATCAATACTTTATCTTATCTCAAAATCTTGTATAGGCT